CTAGAGTTTAATGGAGAAGAGATAAAATCTCTGCTGGGTTCTAGGAGCACACTGTGGTCTAACCCATAGGTACTGCATCTGCCCTCTTCAATGACATGGCCCTCTGAAGTGCTGGACACACAGGAGTCCTCAGGAGTTTCTGTGGAAATGAGGTATTTAGCCAATATACCTTCATCTCCACTGAAAAGCCCTAGTTCTGACAGGGGTTCTTCAGACAGGTTCTGCCCTTCACTAATTCCATTCTCCCTGGTGATCTCTGAGCTCTCTGTATTTTCTAAGTGACCCCTTGAGGAGTGGTGCAGGAACTCCAGCTCTCCATGCACTGGCTCATCTCTGCCTCCTGACTGCTGTGCTCTGTCCCACACCTCCCCAAAATCCTCCCCCTGAAACTGAGACACCCCTGACACAACCTGCTTTTCCCTCAATTCCAGGAACTTGTTATTGGGGACAATCTCTCCATCACACTTTTGCCTTACATCTACACTTCTTTCAGCCTCGTAAAGCTGCTTTGCATTTAATTCCTGGATGTAGGAATTCAGTTTCTGAATCTCTTCATTCAAAGATTGTTTTTCTTCTTTGTATCTCTGTGCTTCCTTCTGTACTTGCTCTTCTGCATAAGAAAGTTGATACTTAAGGCCATCAATTAAATCCTTGTATTTAGTTTCCATTTCAGATTTTTCCCTCTGAAAGTCTTCCCGGTGGTGTTCAAGTTTCTTCCTCAAATTTTCTTTACTAATTTCAGATTCCTGAAGCTTTATATTTAAGTCAATTATTATGCCATTCAAATGCTGAATGTGTTCTTCAGAATTTAAAGCACAGAGTTCTTTCTTTAACTGTTCAAGTTCATTTTTATATTTTAAAATAATTTCTTCTTCATAAACCTGCTTGGCTTCTGCAATCTCTCTTCTGTAGCACTTCTCCAGCTCATTCCTCAAGTTATCCAACTGTCTGCAAATATCCTTCTCATGACTGCTTTTCAGTTCTTCAATATGCTGCTGTTCTTTCACTTTGGATAAAGCCATTTCTTTTTTTAATTCTGTTATTTCTGCATCTCGGAGAGAAAGTGTGTGCTGCAGTACAGACAAGCCAGATCTTTCTGAAGTCAGTAGATCTTGAAGACTTTTAATAAATTGTTCTTTTTCATCTATGCTTTTGTGTAGCTCTTGTATTGTATCTTTCATATCCTCTTCCATTTGGGCAAGCAGATTTTCTTTTTCTTTGGTATTCTTAAAAATAAAACATTATATATAAAATATGCCATGATTTCATTTCCTTATACCTCTTGTTTTTAATTTGCATTCAGAAATAACGTTTAAGTTTAAGATTTCTATTTATGGCACTACTAGTTGCATTCTTAAAGGAAAACATGCATTGAGCTGTTCCATTAATGTATGTTAGTCACCACAATCCCAATAAATTTATTTATATGTAAAAAGATTTTTTTTCATGAATTTGTCACTACAGAAAATTCAAGTTATCACCAAATTTGAAAGAATTAAACAACAACCAAATAAAAAAGGTGTGTTTTTACCTTTTGAGAAGACTCCAGCTGCACTTCTAGATGATGTGCTTTCTCACGCAGTATCTGCAAGTGTGCATTTTGCTCTCTGAGATGATCCTGGAACAGGGACATTTGCTGCTGGGCTTCTAATCCTTCATTTTTCCTGAGACTTTTACTCCTCAGCATCTCAGTAACCTGGACACATAAAAGGCACTCAGAGTCAGGAGAAAGTTTACATCCAAACAATTCACACCCAAGACTCCGTGTAAGCAAGTGTATTTACAGATTGACCCTAAATCTTTCATTCTCAAGGAATGAAGATCATCCTAAAAAAGGCAGACAACACTCATCATGTTTTAGATACTTCTACTTACTGAAAAGATGCAAATGTTAGATAATTCATCCCTATGGTGAATTTTTTATATGAACCTATAAATCTAGCATAATAAATCACACTGAATTCCTCCAATACCAAGCAGAACTTCTAATGGACTGGACATACCATTAAGAGGACAATGAACAAAATCAGCCTTCTCTGCAAAGGATTTATAGCTCTTTACTAAAGGCTGGTTTTTTCCTCTCCACATCCCTTAAAATGAAAGGAAAACATTTTCCCCATCAGGGTAACACAAAATAGATTTCATTTAACATTTTTCTCAATACGTGGCTAAAACCAAGAAAGACTGTATTAGTGCTTTCATCTGTTATCAAAGCTGACATCCTTTCACAGTGTGCATGCACTAGACTTACTTAGAATGTGCCTGAAATGCTATTTAGAGGCTTGATCCTTGTCTTTCAATGGCTTATGCTGCAAATCCTAAACACCTGCAGAGTAGCCTTCACTTTTACCACATTTTGCTGTTGCAACCAGAAATGTAGATGGAAAGAAATATTTTTTGTTATTTTACAAAATTTCATTTAGCACACAGTTTGTTTTTCAGGGCATAAGCAAACCCTTTAAGATAATTCCTAGACTAAAAAGTCATTTCTTCTTTTTAAAAATTTTAAACCCCTTTCCCTTCCTATCCAGACTTTCAAGATATGTAAAGATATGTTATCCCATGTAGGGCAATTCTTATCCTGCAAACCTGAAACAATTACTATACAGAAATATTATTATACTATACTATTTCTCTTGGGCAAATACTACAAGGCTCCAAGGACAATAAATACATAGGTTCAGGAGAATAACCACTAGAACACTGAGCACCACACCAAGAAAGAACCAAGCACTTTTAAAAATACATTTTAAACAGATAAAGGCTGCAGTGTATCTCATTACCCAGGGATTAGATCCACGATCAACCTGTTGCACTGAAGCAGGTTCCTATGTGTCACAGAGGCTGCTTGAACCATGTTATTTAAAATGTCTTTCTTTGAGCCAAGTCCCATTACTTCAGCACAGCAAGTTTCTGTCTAACAGCTGAGATGTTCCAGTTGCCCAAGCAGAAACTCAAAAGATTTCTCTGGCAAAGGACAAATGATCACATGCAAATCCAAATTATATAGCAACAGTTGTGTACAGGCCAAAACCCACTTGTGGCAGGACATTCCCCTACCACAGAAGGGCTTCTCTGTTCTGCCTATCAGCTGGTGCAATAGCTAAGGGCATCTTCCCCCTCACAAGAATTTGCTAACTGGTGAAATATCTCAGCCTGGACATCTGTCTGGCAGTGAGATATTTCTGGCACCATGGAGGTGGCATTCCCAGCTGACAATAAACATCTTGCCTTGGGAGAGAGATTGAAGGAACATAAGCTTGAATTTCTGACTGGCAGACACTTAACTTTACAAACTATAAAAGCTACACCGAATTTTCACAAGGCAGAAGTCCTATGCACATTCTGTGGAAATGTGTGGGCTCTTCCCCAAAGCTGGGATGCCACTTTGTGGTTACTCTCTTGGGGGTTGAGTGGAAGGGATCTGTGTACCTCATCAATTTAGTGGTAAGTTACATTGACTCCTAATATTTACTATTTCTTTGCTAGCTGTAATAAAGGCACCTTTATGTTGTGCATTGTTTCAGGTAAACTACTAGTAGTTCTTTGTTTTAACCTGTGCAGTATTTCCATATTCTGTTTAAGGCCAATTGTCTGTTAATCTTCTGCCTAATCAGTAAATAACTCGTTCATTGAACTGCCATTTCCTACAGGGGTCAGAACTCATTTAGGTGTGCCTCACCTGAATTGAAGCTGCTGCCAAAAATCTGAACCTAAGGCAGGGCTTGCCTAATGCTTTCACTCAATCCATAACACCACTAACAACATTGAGTAAGATTCCCTAACAAGGGCTTAAGTGAGGAACAAAGAAGTGCAATGAATGACCTTCAAAACATTATGCAAGCAATTGGAAAATATGAGGATATTTCCAGGACTCCTCTGTAGTAACCAGGAAAAAACCCTGCCTCACCCTGAAATCATATTCACTGCTATGCTACAAACTGAACTTAGAAGAGCTACATCATCAGCTCAATGTTTTTACATTCCTAGCCTAAAGCTGCTCTTGCAGTGTCTGTAAGGACACACAGACTGGAGGAGAGGCACACCTGATGTAACTGCAGCTGTAAACCATGGATCTGACCAGCCACGTGTGAAGCCTCCTCCTGTAGCTCATCCCGGTCCTTCCTGGCCTGTTGAAGGCAGGTTGTTAACTTCCTGATGATTTCATTCTGCTCTTGAACTGTCATTTCCTACAAGGGTCAGAAGAAGTGCACTTTTAACATTAAAATACTCTTAACATATTTGGAACCAAGTAGATTTTCTTGAAGCAAAGCCATTAGAGAGTCTGTAGTTACATTTCAGTTTTAACCAACTTGTGCCAAACAGATGATGGCAGGCATGATGGAAGAGGAGTCTTAAACTGATCTCAGAGATGACAAACCTAATCAAAAGTGATTTTAAAAACAATTATGGGATACTAGCAATGAAATTGATATTTTTACTTCCAAATTTGTAGCTCTCATTGATGTATAAAGCAACCAAGTTTTCAAAAAGGGTATAATGAATACTTAGTACCCCCTAAATTGTTTGCTCTCTGCCAGCAATTCCCTTCAGTCATGTGAGAGGAAGCTAATGACATACATTAATCCTATTTTATGTTAATCACATTTATCTTTTCAATTTATTTCTCACCAACAGGAAATGTCTTTGTTTCCCTAATCCTAGAATGAGAAAAAGAACATATAAGGGGAAAGCAGCTAGTCTTAGAAAGCACCTGGTAATAATTTACCTTTACAAAGAACTGCTAGAGAAAGGGAATGTAAAATATGTTTTTTAATATTCTGGAAGAGGATGCTGCTTTTTGCACTACATGTTAGCAAGGTGAAGTACTGCTCACTAAAAAAAATAATAAGTTTTTGAGTTTTGCAGCCTAAATATTTTTAGGATGAAATAAATATTATCCCATTACCCAACTCTGTGAAACATACCTGGAGCTGCATAGAATCGTTGTGCTGGGTGAGTTGGTCCTGCAGCTCATCCATCTGTACAGTGAGTTTCTCCACTGCTTCCTGTTTCTCCAGCAGCCTGCTCTCCAGCTCAGCTATCCTCACCTGACACATCTGAGCATCAGCCTCGCTGTATTCTGCAGCAGAATTCATCCTATCTTTCTTCATTAAAAAAAACAAACAAACAAACAGAAATGCATTTATTCACTAAGACTACCATTTCTGGTTTGTGGTTAGTCTGAAAACACATTCAGCTTCAAAGTTAAGTCGTGGGCAAATTCTACTTTAAAAGTAATTCAACACTGAGACTTTGTATCTAATAGAAACACTACATACATAAAGTACTTAATGCTTAAAAATTTCAAATTAAAAATTATCATAGATAATACATTTTCATGTTAGTTTAAGACACAAGTAAAGTAAGAGTGTTGTAATTCTATAGCACCAAATGGTGGCAACATGTCATTTTGGCATGTATTGGGATTTAAATACCTCCAGCTGATAGGAAGGAAGCAGAATACTACCAATTTGAACAAAACTTTTACATTCATCTCACTGGGTAACAGTCCACCCCAACAAGAAATAACAATGTAAAACTCTTCAATTAAAATTAAACTTCTGTGGTTTCTTAGGAGGAACATTGTTACAATCATCATAGAGGATACAGTATTTTATTTTGAGTATTTTTTGGTTGTATTGTATGAAACAATGAAAAATGAACCCATGCATCAATAGGAAACATTAAAATAATTCCAATTTCTCTGGGCAAAGTCTATGATTTTACAAATCTCAATTTTCTTAGCAACCAATTGTCACAGCCAGTACATGTACATACAGAGGAATGCCTGTTTTATACCACAAAACAGTGAAATCACATCCGTTTTGTCATATTTGATAACAATGTTCAATTAATCATTTTAGCAACCAATTTTCAGAGTCTTCTTTCAATTCCAATCCAGCATCTTTTACTGAAGATACATCCTTTCACACTTACTTCAGTTGCATGATCATCCACTGGCTCCCAGCTAGACAAATCAGTGCTGCCCTGGTAAATAAACAAATAAAACAAACATGAAATCATAGCTATTTTAGATAAAAGTAAGGAAAATCAGAATTATTTTGGAAAGACCTTAAGCATGAGTCAGAAAGGTCTGTCTTGTGAGAGACTGACTTTATGTTAAATCCAGCTGGTGTCTCAAGGTGAAATGAACTAAACTGCAAACAAACAAAAGTATTATAATGTCTACTTAAATTTAGGGCTAATTCTCAACACTGATTCAATGCTTGATTCTCTGCTGTTGTAGCTGGCAAATATTTGAGCAATCTCCCATCTACTACTAAAAATTAGCAAACTGACAGGAGATTATTTAACAAAAATGCTAAAATCATTTAGGTAATCACAAAAGCAACACCTTTTTCTGACACACAGACTTAACATAGCTTGATACCTTGAAAGAGGTTTCCCTCTCACTAAATTCACAACAAAACCATAATGATTACTGCATTATTTGGAAAAGGCAGTCCAGTCCACAGCTCTCCCTGCATTCTGAGTCTGCCTGAAGTAGTTCCCAATGATTACTGTCTCCCTGGAGGTACCCTCTCCAGGTAACCTAGAATTCCACTTGCTTTACAAACCAGCTATTTTGAAAAAAGCTTCTCAGCAGCAGCAAGTGACTTTTGTTTTTTCAATTTAAGCTCACAAGAATGTAGCAAGGACACTGCTATGGCTGAGTGACTTATGTTTTTCCTCAGTGCAGACACTCATGAGTAGCTTCATAAAAGCCCTTACCCACAATTATGTTGAAGATATCCTGAAAGCATCAGCATCAGGGATACCCTCACAACAGAAAGCAGGACGACATATGCAAATTTTATCCCCATCATTGCATGTTTGCAAACACACTAGTTAGATGCTATTGTGGGTACGTTGTGAAAACACACCAATGTATGGAGAGATGCTTTTGGTGCAGAAGGCACCCAAAGCTGTTTCCACAGAGAACATGACTACCTTTAGAGAGTCATCAGTACATACATACCAAAATACATCAGACACAAGCAGAGTCACACCTTAAACAAATCTGTGGAAATAACATTTATGCTGGCTTTCCAACGGCTACGAAGAGCTTGATGGAAAAAATTATAGTTTTTCAGAAAACATTATGCATATTGGAGCCAGCCAAGTGATACAAAACCAAATTAATGCTGTGCATTGTAAGGACTTGGCAGTTTTTAGTCTGTTGATCTCCTAGTCCAGATTTGCTTTTTCATGAATTCACAGCCACATAAGCCTAAGTCTGCCCAAAGAGAAGTCCATGGTGGTGAAAGGCTTTAATTTAGGAGGCTAACAGCTCCCTGGCAATAACAGCTGCCTAGGCCATACCATGGGGATGTCTTACTCAGTAAATGAGGCAAAAACAACACCAGTTCACTTACCTCCCAAGGGCAGCCAGTGGCCAGTGGGCTAACACTCAGCTAAGTAAAACAACCACCTGCAACACTCATTACCTGCAGCGGAGTGGAGCAAAGGTGACAAACACTAAAATTTACCTGTGCTTCTGTTCTTGCCTCTGGGATGTTGGTGTCTTCAGCCTGCCCCTCTAGGCCCTTGCCAGCACCTCTGGCTGCTACTGGGTGCTCTTCCTTCGGAAGGTCATGCGTGTGGACAGCCGAGCCCTTCCTCTTCGCCGCCTTTTTCTGCGGCTGCGCGACGTCGCCCTTTGCTTTTCGCTGTCTGAAGTAAGCAAACTGTTCAGGAAAGATTGCAAGAGGTACAGGGAGAGGTAAGCAAGGAAAAAGTAGCAGGACCACAAGATTAACACAGTCATGGGTGACAGAGCTCCTGGCTTGATAAAATATATACATCTGCAGAAAAACTGCTTTATCTGCCTGTTTTCCACACGTTCACATCATACTGGATAACTGTGCCATTAAGCAACAAATCTCACACCAGCACTAAATGCACATTTCCACACAAGAATCAAAGTTTTGCTCAGTGAAACTTTGTGTGCCAATGATAATCCGGAATTACAGCAAGATAAATCAGTAAAGGAACGAGTTGTCAATATAATGCTAGAAGCACTAGGAAAAAATAATAATTGAGCAGTCTTTCTGCAAGACTAGCAAAAACAAGAACCCCCTTGCCATGGTGCCAGAACCAGCACACCCCTACAAATACATCTAAACAGGTCTTAGCCAGCGTAAGCTTTGAGATGAGGATTCACTTCCGTTAATTTTAATGCTCCTTCCCTGCCATCCCCTTAAGAGAACACAGCAAAACTTCTTCGCCAGAAAGCAGCCTCCAGTACATAAATAGAAAATCAATTAAGCCAGGTCATTTTAATTTCTTCTGTTGAAGAATCAGATGCTCTACTTTATCAGGCTATCACAGCTCTACAAAGCTCCAGGGACTCGTAAAGAATGTCACTGACAATTTATTACCCAACTCTCCCTAACACTCTAAACAGCTTAAAAAGGATTATTGTTATTTTCAACTCTAGTATTGTGTTTAGGCAGCATTTCCAGGTAACATCTCCCTCACAGCAGAAATCCAGACATCCTTTCCCTTTCGTAAGGAAAAAGACTTCAAGGTTAAAACCACAGATTATCAAGTGCAGTGTTATATCCTTGTGATGAGACAAAACATAGAGTTAACTGATGACTGGATGTAAACATCACTGCCAAGTTCTACCTGCAATACACATGAAAATCCACTGCTTGACAGCTTGGTTTTCCTGTCAAACAGCCACCTTGCAGAAAAATCTTGCCCCATTCTTCTCATTCAGTTTGTTGAAACGATCTAGTTCAGTCCCCCCTCCTTATAGGAACTTTTACTTGACAGCTTAGCTACTCAACAGGTGCACATTTACACATCTGCTACACCCAGCAGCCTGTTTAAAAGGTGTATTTACAGAAAGACATCAATTTCTTACCAGCTAATAAAATTCTTATGTACAAAAAAATATTTTTAAGATTACCTTCTGTCATTTCTACAGTTAGTAATACTGAAATGCAGATTAAATGAAGACTGCCAGACTCGTGCCTTTCATAATAAGCAGAATGAACAGACCATAAAGCTGCAGTGAGACACAAATACTATCCTCTGAAACCAGATGTCAACTCCAGCACTTACTGATGGCAATGTATGTCAAAAATAGCTACAGCACTAATTAACCTGATAACATGGGGAAACGGGGCAGGAGGAAACCTGCAGAAAAATGGAGAGCAGAGGAAACTGCTGAAGCAGGGAAAAAGGGAAAACAGGAGTAAAACAAGCAGAAAAGATGAAAGGCAGAGAGACCAGGCATTACAGAGAGCAGTTACTGATTCATGAAGGGACACCAAGTGTCTCACATTAAAACACCAAGACTTGGCACGGCTGAACACCTGAACAGCATAGATTTTTAAATGCACAAGTCAAAGACAACAGAACTTATTTTGGCCCATTCACATGCACTAAACATATAAAATCACACTACATACCATGGGAAGATATCTAACTACACCAAAATTTTATGGAACTACTGAACTTGGTGGAGTGGCTTGATTCAAACATGCTCCAGATTTATGGAAAAAGTTTTATTTAGAGGAATATCGGGTTTCCAAAGCCTTTCATCTGCTACATGAAATTTAAAGTCATTGTAAGAGAATCTGAAATTCACAACCAGTCATCCAAGATGAAATAGTGAACGTGAAGAAAGGAAGACACAACTGCCTCTGCCTCATCACAGTGAGATCCCATCATGCCTACTGTGAATGATTTAACCCTCCCTTTGCTTTCCAGAAGCACATGCAGAGGTGAAAAGTTTCACTTTTAGCCAAGATGTAGCATTACAGCAGGAACCCTGAGAGCACTATCCTCCACAGCATCCCAAGCAGCTGTTCTAACACCAGAACACCTTCCTACAGCTACCAGTGCACTGCAACTTCATTTCACCAGGATCAGTCAGTTAAAAGCTGATGTATTACTTTATGTGCTTCAGAAATTGGCAGCAAAACAAACACTCAGAGAAAACAGAACAGAAAACCACATCAGCACCAAACAGAAACAGGTTGTTCAAATAAACATTAGTCCAGCTCTTGGATACAGCAAACATAAGCAACAAGTGCTCTTAGACAAAACCAAGAAATATTTTCTAGACCTTCCTCAAAATTACGAGGTGGGAAAACCTCCTGGAAAACCTGAACTCATTTTTCAGGTCCTAACTGTAAAAATGCAGGTGGAACAAAACCTCCCACACCTGAGGCACAGAGAGCTCTGTAACTAGAGGCACAGGTGGCCAACATGCACACTAATTACTGTGAGGTAGAAAAAAACAAGGAGAAAACAACAGCACTGAATAGTTAGGCTTGTTCTGTTTCTCAATTACTACCCTGGCTATCAGGATTGCATTTGTTAGAAACAGGGATCTGAGATACCTGATACCTCAGTCAGTACTTAGCTGCCAATTACAATGTCCAATAAATATAACAGTTGGCATTATCATTGTTCTTGGGTGACAATTTAAATGCATGTTAGTAATGGCATTTTTATTCCTATATGAAAAAGAGTAATGTGAGTACGGGTTTGAAAAGGAAAACATTTAGATTGTGTTTCTTTGTCAAGTCACGGCTTAACAGACTAAGATCTAAGGATGCTAAAGATAAAATAACTCATTTCATGGAGGGTGGGGGTGAGGCAAAAAGCACTCAAGAGTTAAAGCCTCACTCCCATCCCCTGCTGTCAGGAACGCCTGCCAGTGATGTGTAGAGATGGCTCAGAAATGATCTGATGGACACTGAACACTTCAGTGCCACACTAGAGATGGGATCACCTTAAGCTGCTCTAGGCTGCACCATACGAAGGAGAACCTACACTTTTATTATGGCAAACAACAGTCTTCCAACTAAGTCTGTCACATTTTTCTACTCAGAAACAGGTCCTACACCGGGAATTAATTTGTTAACACGGGTCATGCCACACTAAGGTAACCTTTTAACCTTAAGAACCCCTGCTCTCAGAGTTCTCTCTCTTGAACTAATGATACAGTTGCTCTCCAGCAGAGGATTGTGTTCTCACAGCACATAACAAGGCAGGCAGAGAAGAAACTACAGAGTAGGAGCAGGCAGTGTGAAATCCATGGCAGCATCAGGGAGGACCAGGCCAGGGATGGAGGAGCTGTACTGCTAAATCACCAGGCAGCTACAACCCTGCTCCCTTCCAGAAAAGCTCTCTTTCATTTTCTGTGCACAGCACTGGTGGGAAGCAGCTGAAACAGAAACACAGCAGACAGACAGGACAGCTCCAAGCCACCTCTGAGCCTGTGATCCAGATATCCAGACAGGTTCCCTGCAGAAAGGGCAGGATCTGGAAAGATCTGATGGATCTGAACTTCCCTGTGCAGCCTCAGCTATCCCTGTCTAGCTACAGCCCTACTGGAATGGTGAGGACTAGAAAGCCTTATTTAGCAGGGACAGCCAGAAGGGAAATATGACAAAACCAGCTCAAAACCCATCAGAAATGCTGAATTAAAAGGAAATAACCAGGCATTTACAGCCAGCTCCTTGAACATCATTACCAAAACAAAGCAGAAGTTTTTATCTAACGGGTTAGCACACAAGCAGTGTTAAACACGTGGCTGCAGGCAGTAGTTACTTGGAGAATGTAATCTTTATATATCAGGCTCATCTTGTGAGCTCTACACAAGTCCCTGAAGAAGACGCAAGTGAAGACACCTCAATGTTCGAAGCTTATCAAGTGTTTGCTACTGGCTTGACTGGAAACCAAAAAGCCGAGCCCACCTGCGGACACACAGGCATAGTAATAAAACAACACCTGTTCTCTGGGATCCTAAACTGGAAATGCAGTATTCCCACAAACACTGAATGCTAGGCTAAAATGGGAGAGTGCTGAGAAGAAAAAAAACAACCAAACCAAGGAAAACAGAGCCTGAGGGATGGCATGTGCACTGCTGTCAGCTGCTCTGCGTTCACCCGAGGCAATGTTTCCATGCTTGTGGAGCGGGATGCGGCCTCGCAGGCAGAACCACCGCCGGGCACGGCTTTTGCTGCGGAACCACGGTGTCAGGGGAGCCTCACCCCGCTCCGGGACAGCCCCGGGCCGGCAGCAGACCCCGGCTCTGCCGCTGCCCGCACCCAACTCCGAGTGTGGCACAGAACCCTCCACGGAGGAGAGAGATCCGGGGCGGGCTGAGGCGAAGCCGCCCCCCGGCCTGCCAACCCTCGCAGCGCACTGAGAGCGGGACGGGCACAGCCTCCGCCTGGCCGGGCCCCCTTCCCCTCACCTTAGCCCTGCCGGCCTCCAGCTTGCGCCTTCGCACCTCCTCTTGTGCCTCCATGAGGTGGCCGGGGCGGTCCGTGCGCCCCCCGCGCCGTCACGGCGGCGGCAGCGCAGCTTCGGTCATGGCCGCCCAGCGCCGCTCCCCGCCCGCCGCCGCGCCAGCCGCTCCGCGCGGGGCGGAGCTCCACGCCCATTGGCCACAGCTCCTGACGCACCGCCGTCACCGGCCAATGACAACGGCTTTGCTCAGCCGGGCTCCGCCCACTCCGGCTAAATGGCTGCTGGGATACCCCGGGCAAGCCGGCGCCAGCCCCCGGCCCTGCCCCCTCTGCGGCATCCACCAATGGGAGCGTCCGGCGCCATTTCAAAAGGGCCGCTGTCTCCGCTCAGCGCGGGAAACAGCCAATGGGGGGCATGGGGGGCGTGTCGGCGTGGAGGGGGCGTGTCGGCGTGGAGGGGGCGTGTCGGCGTGGAGG